TGCAATGCCGCGCATCCGGGACCGAGTCGACCGACTGGTGTTGCCGTTGTGCCGCTGCGCCTCGCGCAGCGCCGCTGTGCCGCTGCTTTCGAGTCGTGTCCGGGTCTAGTCAGATACAGACGGGTCAAATTCGGGTCTGACCCGAACACGACCCGCCGACACGAATTGACAGCCCTACTTCTGAACACACAAAGACCAAAGCCCCAGAGAAGTCCAATGTTCCCGAGAAGTCCAATGTCCCAGAGAAAATCAATATCCAAGATATAATCATGGCTGATGACTTAGAAGAGGATGTCAGTTTATTAAAAATTAAAAGGGTGTACAAAAGGCAGAAATTAGATTTGCCCTCTCAAATAGAACCTGCCAAAAAAAACATCCCAAAAAGTTTCATCCCCTAAAGCACCTCCCAAAAAGAACCATCCTAACAAGTTTCATCCCCAAAAGAACCTCCCCAAAAAGAATCATCTCAAATTTTTTCATCCCCAAAAGAACCTCCCCAAAAAGAACCATCCCAAAAAGTTTCATTCATAAATAAACCTCCCCAAAAAGAACCATCCCAAAAAGTTCCATCCACAAAAGAACTAATCAACGTTGATAATGTTATAGTAAAACCTAAACCTGCAAGTCCTACAGTGAACTGCATTTACTTGGAGATGTTGAGTCCTGAGAAGAAACTTTTTATTAGGGAAAACATAAAGAAGTATTTTAACATGTATTTTATATGCGTAACTTCTGCGTCTATTATGCGTAATTTGGTATGCGTAACTTGTGCGTATTGGTTGCATAACTACTGTGTTTTAATGCGTATGAAATGCGTCTTGTGGATTTCATACGCAGGCAAGTTACGCATAAGTTACGCAAAAGTTATGCATGAAAGACGCACAAGTTACGCATATAGAATACCGGTCAAAATACTTCTTTATGTTTTCCCTAATAAAAAGTTCCTTCTCATGACTCAACATCTCCGAGCCAATGTAGTTCACTATAGGACTTGCATGTTTAGGTTTTACTATAACATTATCAACGTGATGCAATCAAAAATTTGGGAAAGGGAGGGACCCAAATTTTTTATCACAAAAAAGAAATACTTTTCTAAGAAAGAAATAAAGACATATAATAGACAAATAAACTAAAAACAACAACTTTACTTCATAATATAAAAACTATTACAACTTAGACAAGACTTACAAACGACTCTTGCAAGACACTTACAATTTGGACGCTTCAAACTTTGACACAAACAAAATAACACCCTAAAATTGCTTACTTTGAGAAGAAGGATACAATGGAATGGATACTATGGAGAGAAGAAAGAGATTAGAAGCCAAGAAGAATGGTGGAAAGAGCCCGCAGGATTTCCATAGAAGAAGAAGACGAAATGGAACAAAGCTCTCAAGCTTTTTCCAAGAAAACCTCTCAGGTTTTGTCTCCAAAAATCACTCACATTACCTTTTAAAAACAGCCACAAACATCAATATTTATAGTCACAAAAAGGGCAGCCAAACAGCCCAAATATTAGGGAATATGGAAGGTTAAAAGACACCTAGAAGAAGATTAAAAGACACAAAAAACTGCAGTAGAAAAACTGCATAGAAAACAGAAAAAAAACTCCTGGAATTCCTCCCAAAACAGTCCCCAAAAACTGAAGAAAAGGAAAGCCAAAATCCATAAGTTTTTTCTTGCTGAAATCCCAAGAGACACAGCCAAAATCCAATGAATAAAGCCATGGAACCAGCCAGCACAAGCCACGGTTTCAACACAGGAAACCAGGAGGCAAATCAGGGAATTAATTCACGGTCAAAAAGAGATGCCAAAGCGGTAAAGAAGACAGCACCCGAAGAGGCACATCACACCCGAAGCAGCAGCAGACTGTGAGAGAAATTTCCAGAGAAGAAAAAAACTGCAGCAACTCAATTTCAAGAAGAATGTGAAAGATCAAGTTCACCCACCAAATCTTGCTCCCAACCTTAATTTTATAACTAGACATCAGCTCATAATGAGCTACTTCTCCACTAGATATTAATGAGCTTGCACAACTAATGTTTCAACTACTTAAGCTCAAACCGAAACAGCTAATGCCCTCATGAAATCAGCAAACATCCAAAAGACAAAAAGGAGAGGGGAAATATGAAAAGATACCAGGCAAGAAATTACAAAAAAAACTCAACTTGAGTTGACCCCCCCTTTGTCTACATCACAACGTTAATTAGTTCTTTTGTGAATGGAACTTTTTGTGATGATTCTTTTTTTGGATGTTCATTTGGGGATGAAACTTTTTAGGATGTTTCTTTTTGGGAGGTTCTTTTGGGGATGGAACAATTTGGGATGATTCTTTTTTGGGAGGTTCTTTTAGGGATGAAACTTATTAGGATGGTTCTTTTTTGGGAGGTGTTTTGGGGGATAAAACTTTTTTGGGATAGTTCTTTTTTGGCATGTTTTATTTGGGAGGGTAAATCTAATTTTTGCTTCTTGTACACCCTTTCAATTTTTAATAAACAGACATCCTCTTCTAAGTCATTAGCCTTGGTCATATCTGAGATATTGATTTTCTCTGGGACATTGGACTTCTCCGGGACATTGGACTTCTCTAGGGCTTGGGTCTTTACGTGTTCAGAAGATATCCCAATATTCTTCATTGGGTAATGATTGCATGATGATGAGAATGGAGCATGTTACTGATCAGGATTAAAATTGTCTTGAACAATGTAATTTTGAAACTTGTTATCAATTAAATTCACTCTTTTCACAATTTGCTCAAAATTCTTATTCAGCCTAACTTCAAATTCTTAGAAGAGATTTTTGCAGGTATCCTGAACTATTTTTATTATTTTCTCTTTTAGAACATCAAATGATTGAGGTGAATATGGAAAGTGTGGATGCTTAGGTGATTGGGGTTGGGGTTGCAGGGTAGATTTGGGTTCGGGTTGTTGGGGAGATTGGGGGGAGATGAAGTTCGAGTGTGTTGGTTTAAATGGGAGAATGAGGTCTTGATGGATATTTCTGGATGTCCAGAAGATTAGCTTCTTCAGGGGTAACTCCCTGGAGGTCGACAAAAATCTGTGAAAAATTAATTTGTTAGTAAATTTGTTATCAAATAATTTTATTGTTGCGTATATATACACACTATATACGTCATTTATAAGCAATATATACGCAATAAATATGCAATCAATACTCAATACATACACAAGATATAGCAATAAATAAGAAATATATTCACAATATATATCTATCTTCTTTTTAAATTAACAAATAATTTAGTTGTCTTCTCAGTATTATATACAATGTCATCAGCCCATCGAATAAAACGGAGTCTTTTCTCGGAGTACTAAGGATAATGAATTGAAGTGTGCTCCAGGAATCAAACCTGCATAAAATAAAAGTAAATTTTAGCAAATAAATCAGTCAAATTAAATGTTAAATTAGAATTATTTTAGCACTCCTAATTAGCAGAGGCACAAAACTATTGGCATAACCTGCTGGCTTGTTCTTTGAGATCTTCATAGATACATTATTAAACTCTTCAATCATGCATTCCCAAATCGATCATGCCTAGTTAATTAATGAGAAATCATCAACATTATTTGATATTATTTTTAACAACCTATGAATTTTGAAATTGTTTTATTACAAAAATAAATTTGAATATAAATACATAATAAATGTTTTCAACATATTCTTTGGGAGCTTTCTCCAGTCAACTCTAGTATTTTAGATTTTATATTCTTTGAAGTGATGGTTGCAGTGGACAAGGTAAGTCAAGTAATCTCTTTACCTTTGTTTGAAAGACCAGTAAGGAAGGCAACTTCATCAGCTGTGAAAGGTATAACATAACTCTTTATAATAAAACTTTGTTTTCGTATATTCTACATTATCATCAGCTGGTAAATCATTGAGGCGTTTTGCTCGAATACATGAAATTGAAGAAATTTGTAAATATTTATATTCTTCAATTTTTCTTCAATTTCAAGAGGAATTATCTCGGCAAAAGTATCACAAATTGTTCTAAATATGAAAACATATCAGCGATAAGATATAGGACGGACGTAAATCTGAATAAATTAAGAAAATAAAATTAATTTAGATAAGCAGGTGATACGCATTAATTACGCATAGAAAATGTAATATATACGCATTAAATGCGCATAATATACACATACTGTACGCAAAGAATACGAAAAATATCAGCATAAATCAAGAATTATTTACACTAATCGTTTTTCTTTATTAGATTTTTTTTATGATTTAAGATCCAAAGAATTTATTATAAAATGTTAGGGTTTGAGTCTTCAACATATACATAGAAAATAAGCAAAATATATGCAGAATATACACATAATATACAAAGAATATACGCAAAAAGAACGTAAAATGTGAAATAAATATAATTTTTTAACGTTATCGAAAATTTCTTTTTTCTTCAGCAAATACGTAGTGAATACCGAAGAAATACGAAGTATATTTTATGACAATGTAAGCATTAACATACATTTTTCTTTACAGATGAATCATTTTCTTCCTCCATTTGAGTAGAAGATATTGTTGAATGTTTTTTAGAAGAATTTTTTGCAGGAACCTCTGAAAATTGGAGCGAATGGCAGAAATTGTATACGCTCTTGAAATGTGAAAATTTTCCGCCTTTTTCATCTTTTTACCTTTAATGTTGGGCGGGCGGATGTCTCTTCGTCTGCAGTCGGTCCGAAAAGACAAATGGGTCGGATAAGAAGTCAAATGAATATTCTAACTTTCCACGTAAGCACGCCATACGTAATGATTTTATTGGCAACCGAAAACAGCTCTGTGACCTGATTCCACACAATAATTTCTCGAGCATTTGTATTTCAGATTGGATATACGTATCAGTTGCGGCTCAACAAGGCAACAACATCTATTTCTACATCAGAACATATTAAAATGAATGATGACTTTTTCGATATGATTTTCCAGCTAAAAAATATACAACGCTGAGGAATATGCACAAATAGGGCAATGGGACTGACCTTTTTCGAGGAGTTTGCATGGTCGGCGGACTCGGTGGCGGGGGCGGCGTCCCCTTCTGAGCTCGAAGAAGCACAACGAGAAGTGGTAGAGGTGGAAAAGGACTGCGCGAAAGATCGGTGCAGGAGTGGAGAAATGGAGGAGGCTGCTAGCTTTGATATGGCGGGGATTTGAAAGGGCCGGGTAAGTGGGAGCATTCTTCCGCGTGAATCCTGATACGGACGCTTTGGCTGAAATGATATATTGAGTGCCCGCGGGCCCGCTGGACCGCGACAGCACCATGCAGGTGAGCCATATTAGGGTCAAGGGGGAGCCGGTTTTTTTAACACTACATAAATTATTGAATTTAAATATATCTTCAATTTTTTATCCAGGTTTAAAATCGACAATAACGGTTTTAAAAAAAATTAGTCCTCCTTATAAAAATATAAAATATTTGATAAAGACAAAAATTACAACTACAAATGTTAGCTCTTGATATATTATTTCATATTACTTATAATTTATTCCTATGAGTCTTCATATTTTAAAAGTTATTGGACTATCATTTTATTATCAATATTATTAAGTATATTTTTTAATAAAAGTAAATGGAGAATCATTCATCCAAGAGTTTCACATATGATTATGTAAATGTTTCCTTATAATGTTCATTACAAGAAATGCTTATTGGACTGTAGTTATAAACTTATAGTAATTGGCGATATCAAAGCAAACATTATAAGTAGAAATACTAAATGATAAATATCATTTGTTTTAGTCTCAATTAATTTCTAAGCAATTTCTCTAATTCATTTTTAAATCATGAATGCTTTAGTCGATCTTATACCAATAATAAAATTTTCAAATGGTTGTCTAATATGATGAGATTTATTTCTGAAAAAATTTGACATATAAAATTATGTCTGTCGTATCAATCTTTCTTAATCAAAAATTGAAAATGAATAAGATGTACTCAAACATGCAATACACATAAGTAACTTTGTAGTTATTTCATCAAGCATGTTATTAAGCTTTTGAAGTTGCTTATCAATCACGCTATAAAATAATTTGAGTTAATAATAAGGACCATTTGTAATAGTTTGAGCATGGTGTATTGATCTTCCTCACATTAAAAATATATTAGTCATACTTAGAGTAATTATGATATTCTTCTCACAAAATAGTCCAACTTATTTAAACAAAGTGTATCACTCATCATCGTTCATAGTTTGAAGTCTTTATTTTAATATATTTATCAAAGTAATGGTATTTATAATATATTGATTCTTTCTTTGCAACACTTCTGATAACTCATTTATAATTCCTAATATAATCTTCTTCATATGCAAGTTGAAAGCAAGCTCAAAACTTTGTATGTAATCAAGTATGGCATATGCTTCACTTTTTTGCTAATTACGAGATATGTCTTGTATTACTATATCAAAAATCTCAATTATAGAATAAAATATAAGAATTAAACTGGTTAGTGAATCTTAGTGTAAACCCCCAACAAGCATCTCCAGACCTTTGAAAAACAATTTCTTGGTTCAAACTTTTACCTTTGATAATTCCTACCTTTCTAGTTGATCACTAATTTTGATGTAATGTTTTCTTCCAAAATCGTTTGCATTAACTATCAATAATATTTATCAAATTAGCAATTGTATTAAAAAATAAAGCAATTTCAGCATTATTTTTTGTGACCATAACTAATGCTAATTGAAGTTGATGAGCAACACAATGCACGCAATATGTTGAACAATCTTCTTTCTTGATCAATATTATTGTCCATTAAACTCCCCAACTACGTTCCTCTTGATCATCCTCGTTCGACTACGATCTTTTTGACCTTTATCGTCTGGTTATGATCCTTTTGACTATCGTGGCCTAACTAGGTCCTTCCTTCTTACATCGCTCACTGATTATGATCCTACTGACCAAACAAATATGTTAGCACTGATTCTTCCAACTCCTACTATGTAATACAGTATGTATGATATATATATTACATAAAGCCAAGCCTCCCCCCCCCCCCAGGAAGGGCCTCTTTTGTAATCGACTGCAAACACTATTGGATTCGTTTAAACTGGGCCACGCCTCATGGTTTTCCCCCCATTTTAAGGGTTTTCACCTAAAAAGTATGGTGTCTCTTATGAATGTCACACCCATTTCTTTGATCTATTTATATGCTAGATCTTCGTACAAAGCTAGGATGCTAAATTTTATATTTCTTTATCGCCATGAATATTTTAGGACGCATCAGTTTGTCATCATCTCTGATAACGTCGTTCCTGACTGGGGGGGCAACTTTTGCTCCAAAATTGAAAGATCATTCATGTCAATGTCCTAACATCAGTGATTGTTGCATCAATTCATGTGAATCAGATGTGGACTTAAGGGGATACTTTAACTCCAATCGTGGCCAAGAAAATTCCTCTAACGCTATCAAAATCCAAGATAATAACTTGGGAAACTTTTTTTTTTATAAAGCTTATAGCAAATGCAAGCATTATTCCAATAAATTACAAGCTTTATACAATTCCTGGTTGGATTTCTATGGCTTGGACAAAGACTTAATCTTGACTTTAAAAAGACAACAACGGTTTAAAGATAGATCGTTCTTTAACTTTAATTCAGTATACAATCAACATTCACCCATTCCCAATCAAGGTATAATTGATCATAGGGGGATTCGATTCGACCTCTTCCTTACAAGTTAACGATATTAAACAATGCTCTAACAAACAAACACGGATAGCTCATACATCATTGGTGAAATCTCTCGACCTTTTCCACATAAGTTCATATCATTGAGCAACTCTCTACCAAACGATCTTGGATATGTCATACATCATTGGTTAAATCTCTCGACCTCTTCTACATAAGTTAACATCACCAAGCAATGATTTGACAAATAATCTTAATATATCATACATCCTTGGTGGAGTCTCTCGGTCTCTTCCCCATAAGGTAACATCATCGAGTAATGCTCTGATAAAAAATCTTAGATAAGTTATACATCCTTAGTGTGTTTTCTCACTTTTTTGTACATAGGTTAACATCTGATAGGTCAAACATCTATTGTGGATTTTCTCAACCATTTAAATATAAGGCTATGCTTTAATAAACAACCTCAAGAAGGCCCACCTATGAGGTAGCCTCAAAGTGAAGCTAGTAGTGGACATGGTCATCACTATAAAGGCTCCATGAGAGTAAGTGGTTGATAGGGTCATCACTCATTCAAATATCTTAGAAGGATAAAAGCCATAAAAGGTACATGTATACAAAAGACCTTAACATGCTAAAAAATATTAGAAGTCACAAAAACACAGAAGGCCTTATAAGGCTAAAAGCCTCAAAAGGCACATGAACATAAAAAGATCATAGAATGATAAAAGCTTCAAATGACACATGTATATGAAAGATCTTGGAAGGCTAAAAACCACAAAAGGCACATGCACAATAAAATCTTAAGAGGCTAAAAGCCTCATAAGATATATATTACTTTAATTATTTAAAAATTTTAGAAGATTAAAAGTTATAAAAAGAATATAATTCCTCTAATTTAATTGCTCTAACAGGAGGGCAAATTCATAATTCAAAGTTATTCATTATTTCAAGTAAACATCAATATCATATAACTCTTTAAGGTAAATAAAAATAGATAATCAGGTAGATAACAATGCTACAAAAATTAAAACTTTGTTATTATTATTTGAAAATGCTTTTTCAGCTCCCTGTCATTTCTACCATCACCTAAAATCGAGGACAATATTTAGATGTCTGGCTAGTAGTTAGCCCATCATTTATAATCTTAATATGTACGTTGTATTGGTCGATCTATTTTAAAGAAGCCACAAGCAAAGCCTTCATCAAGACTTTAAAGTATTACAAAATTTATCATGAACTGCTTTGATATGATTGTGGATTTCCTGATGATAAGCTGAAGACCACTTGAACACTTTTATAGCCTTCAACGATATGGTCTCCATCTTGAAATCAATCTTCTCTCTTGAAATGGAGGAGTATGCATGTCCCTATTAGATAATTATGAAGCAATAATCAACATATAATAAAGTTGCTTGCAAACCATCATTATAGTATCATGCCTCCACTTAATTGGCACCAAGAATATGTTACAAAATCAACATGAATGCCTACTATCTCCAGCAAAATGCAACTCGATCATCGACATCATTGGTCATTTTCATGGTGGCTGTCATCGATCTTTATCCTCATATAAACCTTCTTCGACTCATCACATAACTACGAATAGCAGCACACCCTCTAATTATTACCTTCAGCTCAACACCCGACCTTCGATCATCGCCAGACTTTCACTTGATCATTGGTCACCATCAAACTTTTAACCAACCGTCATACTTTCAGTGGACTTCCACCCGATTGTTGAACACCGCCAAACTTCTGCTAGATTATTGTTAGACTTTCGCTTAATCATCGTCAAAATACTGTTTGTTAGCTGAAAATCACAGATTCTCCTCTTAGACGCGATCACTGCAGATCATTTAAAATCACTCTCTCATGTAGAAGGTGGTCGATCTTCTTCTGTTATGGATTCTAAATGGGAAAAATGATCTCTAATCAAACCCCTTCTATAAAAAGAGAGGAACTGAAGCTTGATGGGGGATGCCACCTATCTCAGACATACAAGGGCTACTCCTCCTAAAAAAAAAAGGGCATTGAAGTTTGATAGTGAATTATACTTATCCAAAACTAGTGGAATGTATTTAATATGAAAAAGAAGTCTGATATAAAAGAAGATGTAAGGAGAGGAAATTATCTTCTACACATAGAGGGGCACTACAGTTTGATAACGGATGTCGTCTATCCAAAAGTAGTGGAAAGCCTTTAATATATGAAGGAGTTTCTGAGAGAAGGTTCTTTCCGCACAAAGAGGGCCACTGAACTTGATAGGGGATGCCACATATTCAAGACAATGGAATTTCTCAATTTTAAGAAGGTTGGAGGAATAAAGGAGAAGGAAAAAAGGTGTAACCTTCTCCTACAACCTAGGGGGGATATTTGTAGGTGAAATGAGAGAAGAAAAATATTATGCGAGAATGATAGTATTCTCAAAGAATACAAATATTTTGATAATAATTTGAAAATATTCATGGGGAATAAAAATAATCTTGGAGAAATATTCTATAAGAATATTAATATTATAAAAGAATAAGAATATTCTAAAAGATTATTTTGCAAGAATAAGAGTATTCTCAGAGGAATATTATAATAAAAGAGAATATTCAAAAAAATATCCAAAGAATAAGAATAATTTAATATGCATATATAAAGAATATTAAAAAAGTATATATAATATTATTTTTTTTTTGAAAAAAGAGAGCCTCTTGTAATCTATGTTGAAACCACACGCCAGAAGGTGCCCACTGTTTCGCACACGAGCGCCCATGCTAGCTCGCTAGAGGAGGGCTATGGCCAACCGGTTCGCCTACCAGTTCGTGACCGGGTCTGATTTTTGGCTTAAATAGCTCAATTCAAACATTTTGGGATCACTGAGATCATTTTTTGACGTTTAGACTCAATTTTGATATTTTTGGAGCTAAACGAAAATTTTATAGAAGATTTTGAGCAAATTCAATAATTTTGTAGCATAAATTTTAAACAATTTTCATATTTATCAACATGCTGACCTCAGAATAATCTAAAATTATAAATGATTATGTTTTACTTGGCTCCTATCCGTGAGGGGAGGTCCACATTGACATTCAGGGAGTAGTCTCGCCTTGAAATTATCCATAAATTATAATTTTGCATTAGATTGATTTGAAGAACCCCGACATATATTTTCAAACTTTGTAGACTTTGACGTTTGAAAATAGGAATGCAACTGATGTATCTTCAAATAATATTTATGACAGGGCACGAATCTTAAGGCAAATTTGAATTGGAAACTTTTGAAATTAAACCTAGGACCATTTGAAGTTTGATTTGAACACTTATAGTCAAACTAAATATCTCAAAAAGATAAACCCAACAACATCAAATTTGACCCAAGCCGAGCCCAAATAGGTCTAAATCAAGGGACCGAAGTATATTTAGAAGGTTCAAAATATAATTTAGATGATTAAATGATATCCAAATATAACATGCTTAAAGTAAAATCGAGTGGATTGATGATACAAATCAATGAGCCCAATATCACCAAATGCTAACATCATTAAGGCACTCAAACACTTGATAAATGGTACATGATAAAGGGAACTGATATTGACATCCATTCGAACAACTTCCAATGTGCCCTTGATTTTCTCTCTATTTACTAGCTATAAAACTTTTAAAAAGTTTTAAATAGACCAATCATTCTTCATTGTAGGGAGAGAGAAATGAAGGGAACAAAGAGAGGAGAGGAAGAGAAATATGAGATCTCTAGATCTATTGCCACCAAGCTCCTCCTCAACCACCGCTCATCCACTGATCATTGTCGGACATTCGTTAGACTTCCGCGTGGCCACAATCTGATGTAGGACTTTCACCTGATCAATGATTGTTTATGAACTAAGGTCATTCAAATCACTATCACCCGACTATATCCTTTATGGCATTTATTACTCCCCAACTACTGTCCTCCTGACCACTATCACCTGATTACGATCTTTTTGACCTTCGCCTCCTAACTATGGTTTTTTTGGCCACCGTCGCACAACTACGATCTTTCCAACCTACATCACCCACTAACTATGATCATGCTGATCAAACAAACATGTCAACATTGATTCTTCCAACTCCCGCCATGTAATGCACTCTATATGATGTATATTTTTTACATCAAGACAATACCTTTTCCACAAGGAATGACCTCATTTTGTAATCAACTGCGAACACTAATGAATTTATTCAAATTGAGCTATGTCCGGTGATTTTTCCCATTTTTAGTGATTTTCACGTTAAAAATCCGATGTTTCTTATGAATGTTACATCCATCACTTTCATTTGTTTGCGTGCATAATCTACATACAAAATTAGGACACTAAACTTTTCATTTTTCTACCGCCGTGAATATTCTAGGATGCAACAATTCTTTATAAATCAAATGAGTCATTATGAGTGACTAATATATTTTTTGGAATAAATTTATTTTATTTTATTTTTTTAGATCACAATCATAATTTTTATTTTGCAATTAATTTTTCATTACTTTTAAAAAATTACATAGAAAATATTTTTTACAACAATTTTAAAAAATATATTATTTTTAAAGTAATTTTATAATCAACAATCATCTCTCGAAAGAGAGATTATTACATGCGGATTTCGAACTCTTTCGAAAATGAATGAAAAGGTGCCACATCATATAATACACTCTACATTAAATGATATGGTACCTTCTCATTTACCTTCGAATGCATTCGACATCCGACCAAATAAATTTTCATAAAAAACGACGCTAAATTATGTCGTATACCTTTCAAATTTTGAATTCCTGTATGGTTACACCCAAGAGACCGAGGGCAAATTATTGGGTCAGGTGACTGGACGCAGAGATAGGTCAGGATATTAATAAAATATTATTTTAAATTAAGCGCAGGTAAAGCGCAAGTAAAGCACAGGTAAAGCGCAACTAAAGCGCAAGTAAAACGCAACTAAAACGCTAGTAAAAAAGCGCAAGTAAAGCACAACTAAAGCACAACTAAAGTGCAAGTCAAAAGCGCAAGGTGACGCGGCAATTTTTTATTGGATGTCCGAACTTATTTTTCGCCTCCGATCATCTGACCCAATAATTTGCCGAGACCGCGGGGTACATAACCGAGGTGATGTGGTCTGAAGTCTGAACCGGAAAATTTCGGTCTGAAATGATATCGAATAGGCCGGCCTTGCACTCGCGGCGAATCTGTCAGATTGTTATTAAAACTCTGGGAGTCGAGAGAGAGAGCGTCGCAGGAGATCCACCGGAAACAGTACTCCCATCCCTTCCTTGGCTGCGAACAGATCGACCGCCTACCCCACCGGAAACCCTAGGAAATAGCACCTGCAATCGATCCCGACTATTGTTCGTTCAGATTTCTCGTGCGCGTTTGATTCAGCAATCATAAACCCTTCTCTATCAACTCTCCTGCGGGAGGTCCTGCGAGCGAAGTCTCTTAAAGATGCGATCTTCGGTCCCGTTTTCCGCAATCCAGGATTTTATTTGTATAGCATGAAGGAGACGACGCGCTGTGTTTTGGACACGGTTGAAGTGCTCTCTGCGGATCGCCACGGGTTTCAGGGTTCTGATGGCGTCTTCGCCCGTCAAGTTTCTCTTCGCATTTCTTTTCGTTTCTTCCGTTGGATGGATTATCTTCACGTAAGAACCACCTACCATTTTCCCTCTCGATTCGCTTCAGTTAAAGTTTTTTGGCACCTATTTATCTTACACGCGACTTGTTTATGATTACTACTATATATAATTTTATCCTCATATTGACCCGCAAAACTCGGTACGCCAATCCCTTGATGGTTTCTCATAAGTAGGAATTTCCATTAGCCCCGAGTTAGAGTGACATCCATTGAGAATTGAACTTCTTGATCTGTTTAGTCACTGCCAGTGACATGAAGGACGTTTCTGATGCTTGAATTAACTCTCAGCTGAAGTTTTAGGATATCTTGATCTGGATGTTGATATGAACATTGTTTTCTCAAGAGAAGAATTGTTCCGATCAAAGCTATCATGAAATTTAAAACAATCCAGGGTGTTATTGCTATATCGGTGCTTGCTTTTAGTTTAACTTCTTCATGCCACCCAGTAATTTTCAACTGAAACTTTTTACATCAAACTCTTTAAAATTCATTGACTGGACAGTTTTAGATCCAAGATTTTGATGATGCCATCAAAGTGGATGTGGAAAACGCTCTAGCTATAGGAGAGGGCTGCATGTTGATTTACACTTGCTTAAATCATCACCATTATAACCTACTTATTTGGTTTGAACCTTATGACTTTGCTTTCCCATACATTTCATTGACAAAAGCAGGAATGATGACATAGATTGCAATTAAAAAAATAAATAAGCTTCAGTATAGAGCCAAAGACATTCCTAGATTCAGAAGATATGAATTCTTGGTGCGCAATCTAGAGTTTCATGGTAGACAACCTAAGAGAGAAGGAGCTATCTAACTTAAAGTTAATGGAAAAATTGCTGAAATTTTTTGTGAACTCATTAATTAATCTATAATAATTACATTTCAATGGGCATGATTTACAAAATTTGATATTTTTTCTGGGTGACTTCTATTTGAAGATGATTAGAGAAATACTATATTAATCATACTTAAAAGAAAATGACACATGGGTCCATAATAATTGGCATAAAATTAACTAGAGATAGATCATGAATGCTATATAAAATAAAACATCACACAAAATTGACTCTATGACCATGACATATGATTAATGACTTAGTACCTTCGAAATCCTATTGTTGATACAAAATCAATTATTCTCAGGTGCGAAGAACTATTATGTAGAGTTGAAATGCTTATGGAGAAAAAAAAAATAGCGTCTTTAACAATCAGAAAAAGAAATATTAGGCATTTTTAAAGGGAACATTAGAATCAACATATTTCTAATTAAAAAATATTTTTGAAATTCTTTTTTCTTCTTCTTCTTTTGGTAGGCTCATATTTAGCTAGAGTTTATTTTTATTTTTTGCTTATATTGATTTGTTTTTGGCTTGGATAGGTTGTTTTTGGTTGAAATCTATTTTGTTTGTTGATTGAATGGTTTGGAACTCATTGTGCTAGGTAGGGCTGGTTGAATGAACTGATTGTTCTCAATTAGGATTTGAGAACCCAAATTGATTGTATTAGATGTTGATGAGACTAATTGTATATATATATATATATATAGATGCTCACAATTTACCTTGTGATGTACATAAAAAAAAATCATTGGCGATACTGCCATAACTACTATTTATGGGAGAAGGGAATTGGCTTATTAATACTAGATTAGGATTCAAATCTTTGAATTTTGAATGAAAATGGAAGCTTGCTAGAGTATAGATTTGAAAGTGAAGAATTTTAGAAACGGGCTTAAAGGTTGTTTTGGAGTTTATAATTCGAAGTTGTGGAGGATTTAGGCATATAAAAGGGCTAATTTGGAACAATTATAGTCATGGTTTCAAAAAGTTATAAAGTCAATCCAAAAGATATATGTTAAGTCATACATGAAAAATTCTCGCAGAGCCATTTGTAAAGCTGAAAGTTTAGTTCTCATGTAAGTACCTCAAATTGATAAAATTTTATAGTGGGAGTGTAGAGGTTGATCCCCCTGCTTTAAATAACAGAAATCCAAAAGTACAATGTTCAACTTGTAGAATTTACTACTCAAAAATGGTCTGAGAATGAGAGGGACTACTTCCGTAAAGTGGTTTACCTGATCAATTTTTTTCTTTTAAAAAATCTGAGCGAGTTTTGCAAGTGATTAATGATACATGTTTGATCAATTTGCAAATACATTTAGTTCTCACTTGGGTTTTCACATTTATTTTTGAATAGATGTTAGTCAGAATATAATAAATAATGTTATTACTTCACCCATGAAGTTCTTACAAGTATGGTGAAAGGTAATTTGATATCTAAGAGGCTTTTTTTACATTAAATTACTATTTCTTTCAAGCTTATTAAGATGAGGTACTTTTTTCAGAAATGTTGGTTTCGTCTACTGTTAATTAGTTTATTTTTACATTTCTTGATTCAGTGATCCGCCACTCTTATCCATTTGGACTGGTATTGTGTGAGTTACTGATTATAAAATGAGGACCTTGGTTCTTTTAATGAGTTGACCCACTACGGCTAGTTGACCTACTTATTAATGTTGCTTTTAAAGCTCGGATTCACCATATTAAGACTTGCTTCCATAGGTAGAAATGAGAATGTTATTAGCTGTTATTACAGGCACATATAATATGTCAAATGGTCATATACATTACATCAGTTCTAGTATTAAATTTGTTAGTTTGGTTTGGGTTTGTAAAAAGCACTGGGTTTGTTAAAAGCTTGAACCCAACTCTTCATTTCAGTTATAAAGCCAACTCTAGCAGTCCATGCATATTTTATTTCTGCGACCTGAATGCTTTGAGGATTCTACAGCTATAAACCTGTAGTGATTCTTGTTTTGCAGTAATTTTAAGACCTTAAATTTTCTCTCTTATGTATGCATCTGCTCTCTAGAATTTTTACATTTTGAGTTCATTATAATATTGTATAAACTAGCATACCTGTTGTTGTCTTATTGAGTTTAATAAATCATATGTAAATTTAGAATTATTTTGATTAGCATCTTAATTGTTCATTTGATTTCATTTTTAATTTCTTAACACTTGCTGACTTTTTTTCCACCCCTTTGTTTTAGATTTGCTTCAAGATTATTGGCTTGGTTCTTGAGCCGCATATTGGGAGCATCTGTTGGGTTTAGGGTTGCTGGCTGCAATTGTTTAAGAGATGTTAGTTTGAAGTTCAATAAGGTCACTTCCTTACACTGTATACAACTTTTGCATGGGATTATTCTTTGGAATTTTGTAAATGCTTATCATTTCAATATCATTCTATTGTACACAGGCATATAAGCTTGTTTAAGAAAAGAAAAAAAGATTCCTGATATGTCAGAAAGCTGCATGGGTCCAGAACGGTTACCCACTTCATCCTTGCCTTTTAAATACCTCTCCGACATGTTCAAAAGTAGAGGTCTTTAATTGTTGGGGATTGAAAGTGTGATGTAAATTTTACTAACAAGTTTGCTAGTTATTGATGTAGAACGGAAGGGAAGAAGATGCGAAGCTCCGGTGTAGTCGTTGGATTGTTTGAGATGGAGTGGACAGCAACCCGAACTTCCTAGCTGCCTTTGGGCAACAACCGACCTCTTTCCGGCTGGTTGGACAACACAACTTTTTGCTGGAATGTTCTGGACAGCAAGCCTTGGCCCTAGGAACCCTGGACAGCAGCTCTCAAGGCTATGGAATATCTGGACAGCACCCACAATTTTGTCCGGAAGTCTGGACAACAGTTTGGCGGGGAAAATTTCACCGTTCCAGATCTCTGGATGCAGGAAACTAAAGGAATGTTGTAGAGGAATATGTGAACAACAATGAGAGTAATCTTGGGATTAATTTACTTGCTTAGGTGACAAGTTTAATTAAATCCCAAATCAATTGGAGATAGAGGGTGATAGGAGAAAGGGGGCGGCGGGTAGAGGAGGGGGGGACATTGTGTCCACATTCAATGAATGCGGACCATGATATTAATTGTAATTGGAAATTAAATCTAATTTTAATATCAGATTTGAGAGATTTGGAGGGTTTCCTAAAAGAGATTTAATAATTAGGAAAATTAATTGAAGTCAAATCCAATTAGAAATTTAATTTGATATAATTTAAGCAACTTTCTTAAAATATGAATCCTAATTTAAGAAATAAATTTAAATTCAAATTAATTTGAATTTTGAATTCAAATTTGTTACTAAATTAAGGGGGCTAGAATAGGAAAGGCTTTGAATGCAAGATGGAATTTGTGGAGCCAAGGGAAGAGGGAGGAAGTGTGGATTTCGGTGGGGAAGGGGAGGGTTGTGGGGAAGGGGACCGGCGCTTAATGGAGGGGATGGGGTTGCCGGCTAGGAGGTGGTGGTGGAGTGGTTGACGGATGGAGGAGGGGAAGAGGGTGGCTTGGCCGGCGGCTATGGAGGGTTTGGCCGGCTGTCAAGGGAGAAAGAGAATCGGCTAGGGGAGGAGGGGGTAGAATGGCGATTAGAAGAAAGAAGAAGGGGAATTAGAGAAGAAAGGAAGTGTAGGGAAAGAAAGATAAACCATGAGCCCGAACACATCTTGCGGCTGATGGGTGTTGCGCTGCCCTCACCTAGAGACTTCAAACCACGAGCCCGATCACATCCTGTGGCTGGTTAATACTACGCTTCTCTCACATAGGGATCTCACCTAAGTTTTTCCCAAAGAACAATAGTGCAGAGTTTTTTTTATTAATAATCCATTGTACATTCGTACCAATACAGTAGCAAGAGCCTCTATATATAGGTCTCAAAATAAAAGAAACTAAAAAGACAAACATGCCCTTAGGGCTTACAAAGGACAACTCCCTCAAAAGAGGGTAAAAACGGAAAATGCATAAATAAAACAAAAAAATACAATTAGTAAATTAAGATAAAGTGGAATGATCTTGACCGTTGACCTTCGTCTCTTCCTCAAATAACCATTCACTATTGGATGTCCGCATCGGTTATATGAAAGCGGTTCTGCATGTTAGTGAAACTTTATACTTGTGTTCATTTCAATCAAACACAAGAAAATGATATCCTGAATTCCAATTTTCAACTACACTGTATTTAGAATAATTCTGAAATCTAAATACTTGTAACAAATAACTCCTTAATATCTTAACAAATATTTGAATTATCGATAACCATCCTTGCAAATAGAAAATCCATTTAATTTTCTCCATAAAAGGTGGCCGACTGCTTGAAATATGGAGAGTTTTGTGATGTAATTTTGGGATAATTTTCTTGCTTTTTTTCCATTTAAATCTCCTCCTATCCTTTTTTTTGGCACCCCCTTATCCTTTTGAAATTGAAATTGCAATTTTTGCAATATTAGCTCTTCAATTTTTATTTGTAAAATTTTCCTTTTAAGTTTAAACTTGCAATATTTCATGAGAGCATCTAATTCAATCTAACCCCTTTGATTCATGTCAATGGCTTTAAAATTTTCTACTCTTTTTGGTGCTTGAATTGATATTTTCTTTTGGATATTTAGATAGAAGTGTTGTTGCCTACTTTGCTGAACTTTTAGATGTCATCGCCAATCTCATTGTTCTCTTCTAATGTACATGGTTGATTTAGCTGGCTAATAAAGAGCTTCGCTTGTGCTATTTTTCCTTGTACGTTGTCCTACTTTTTTGTGTCTATGCTTGGAAGCAACACAATGCCTTTAGGTTCAAACGATTTAGTTGAATGTTGATGCCCTCATCTCAGTGCTAATGAGGTTTGAAATTTGTTATTTGTCTTCGAAAGAGTTGATTTGCTGATATTTTACCAGGAGTTTGATTCTCATATTTAAATATAACATAGTTTTGGAAATTCTTGTAAAATTATACAAATGGACAATTTTTTCTTGTTGCTCGTGTTGACGTTTTTTGTGTTGACTCGAGTCAGATCGAGTCGAATTGGACCCGATCGGGTTTGATTTGACCAGATCCACTGAATCGAGCATCGTTGAAACGAAATTGACCCAAATTAGACATACATTAAGTCCAATTAAACTCAATTTAATCCAATTAAAATCAAATCGATCGTGAGCGATCCAAACCTATCCAAATTAGCCTTGATGAACCAAATTCGACGGCGATTCGAGTTTAATTTCGCAAAATTGAATCGATTTGTCCCGATCAGACTCAAATCGATTCAAATTGAGACCGATTTGGGATCGAATTCAGCCCAATTGGTTCGATTTCGATTACATGATTTGGAAAGTCAAATGAATCTAAATTGGACCAATTGGGCCGAAATTGAGCCCAAATCGGACCTGATTTGGACCAGTTGAGCTGAAACGAGCTCGAATCAGACTCAATTTGAATCAATTTGCGTCGATTTGAGTCCGATCGAGTTAATTTTGCAAAATTGAACTTGAATATGGGTTCGATTTGGACTTGATCCGACTCGAGTCGACACAAAAAAATGTCAACACTTATTTACTTGTATTTTCCTTTTTCCTTTTTTTTCCATTATTCTTTTAGTAACAAAATTTCTAGCTTGAATGCTATTTTTAGCATTAGAGGATGCTTATTTGAGTAGTTTGATTTTTTTTTGTTTTGCCTGAACAAATTTTATATACACATTCCTATCTATTCTATTAGAATACGTTGGACTATATAATAAGCAGCCGAAAAAGTGAGACCTTCAATAACATCGAGGACCTATGATCTTCAGCCATTTATAAATCTTCTGCCTAAACTAAGTTTCCAAAAATCTTCTAGAAACATGTTTATCAAATATCGACTGTGTTAAACTTCATCCTTCCAAACATAAAATACCACATGTCCCCATTTGTGATTTAAAAAATATTCAAAATTTAATTTAAATGTTTAAAATTAAAGAATAAAATTTGAGATACTTTATTAAGTAATTTGAATTATTAACTATGATTTTATGAATAAAGTGTATCTAATAGAAGAATGTGACTATATAATTAGGGAGCTTTGGAAACACTAAGGCCAATCCTATTCTTTTTGGTACTAAATGTATTTATTCCTAGCATTTTCTTAAGTATCTTAATACTATTGTCAGATATTGCTTAATTTAATGGGAAATTCATGACTTGTTTTCTTGGAAGATACATATTCTGTCGTCTCAGTTAACTTTATTCCACTATGTGGGGTCGGTTACATGAATCCTTTTTCTTCATTGTGAGAGTCGAATTTTCATCTAAATCTAATAAAGAAAGGTCATTTCTAATATTTTCTAACTAAGTCTTTTTAGGGTTACCTCTACTTTTCTTAACATAAGTCAAATCTAATACATCTACTTTCCAAACCGCGTCATCGGAAGGTTGTCATTTTATGTGACCAAATCATCTAACGCGACTCTCTCTAATCTCATCTTCCATTGGAGCTACTCCAACATTTTCACGTATATGTTCATTGCGTATTTTGTCTCTAAGAGTAAAGCCACTCATCCACCTGAGCATCCTCATCTATGCAACGCTCAACTTAATATTATGCTTCTCTTTTAATGGCTAACATTCTGCACCATAAAGCATTGCAGGTCTCACTATCATCTTATAGAAATTTCTTTTAAGTTTGAGATGGACTCTTCTATCACACAATAAGCCCGATGTATTCCTCCATTTCAACCATCCAACTTGAATTCTACTAATAGTATCCCCATCTTTTTCACCATCACTCTGAACAATAGACCCAAGATATGTAAAACATGTACTCTTATTAATGACTTGATTGCCCAAAGTCACAATCCCCTCACTAGATGTATTATTATTAAAATTATACTCCATATATTCAGCTTTAGATATACACAAACAAAAGCCTTTAGACTCTAAGGTTAACCTCCATAATTCAAGTTTACCTTCAACTCCCTCTCTAGTCTTATCAACAAGAAGAATATCATCAACAAAAAGCATACACCAAGTTACAACCTCTTGCAAATGTCTAGTGAGAACATCCATGACTAAAGAAAAAAGATATGGGCTTCAGGCTGATCCTTGATGTAATCCAACTGAAATAGGAAAATACTTGATCAAACTACCTTGTGTTTGAACACAAGTAATAGCTCATGCATACATATCTTTAATGACTTGAATATAAGCATTATTAACCCCTTTCTTATGTAGAACTCTTCATAGCACTTCTCTTGGAACTTTATCATATGCTCTCTAAATCAATAAAAATTATATATAGATCCTCCTTATTCACTCTATACTTTTCCATCAAACATCTCAATAAATGTATAGCTTCCATAGTAGACTTACCTGGCATTAATCCAAATTAATTTTGAGAAACATTAGTGTTACCCCGCATTTTATGCTCTAGTTAAAAAAAGTAGAGGTAGTGATGTAATACATGCTTGGAGTTACAAAAGATTAACAAGAGAATTTAGTAGAAGTCACCTTTATAAAGTTATGCGTCAATTCAAAGTAAGTTAGAAGAATTCGCAATCTTCCACTTGCTTAGGCAAAGAAATGCGTGAAGAATAACCAAGACACTCTCAATCAAATTAATGTAGACAAAGGGGGGGTCAACACAAGTCCAAAATAATTCAAATTTTTTGCTTCCCTTGAGTCTACTAGCTCAACAAAAATTGAGCTAGAATTTTAGCTCATTTATGAGCTTGTCTTTAGTTCATTTATTAAACTAGGGGTTAACTCATTATTAGCTAACATTTTAGTTCATTTATTATCTTACTTTTTATTTAATGCATTTTTATTATAGTTTTAATGTCTTAAAGTTGTCTCTTGGGTTTCCAAAAAGGGCTTTTGGAATCCCAAGAAGTTGTTTGCTTTTCCCATGGTGGCTCCTTGGTTTCCACCATTGTTTTTAATTTTTTTAAGTGCTTTTGCCCCTTGGGATTCCGGCCGGCTGCTGGTCTTCCGAGCCCGGGGTGTTTCCCGTGGCCGTGGCTCCTCGGTTCCGCTCGGCCTCCTTGTTTCCCGCGGTGGCTGCTTCGGTTCTTGGATTGGGCTGATTTCCGTGAGCATGGGGGGAAGATTCCTATGCTTTTTAATGCTTAGTTTTATATGTTATATTTATGTAAGGTGTCTTTTCATATTCTCTTCTCATACCTATATATATGAGATGATTTGTAATGTTTGAAGTTAGTGAAGTTGAATGAAATGTTATTTTTGGAAAAGTGTTAACCTGCGGGTTTGCTTTTGCTTGGAAATCCTGCGGGCTCTTTCCACCCTTCTTTCTCATCCCCTCCGGAAATCCTGCAGGCTGAAATGTTATTTTTGGAAAAGTGTTAACCTGCGGGTTTGCTTTTGCTTAGAAATTCTGCGGGCTCTTTCCACCCTTTCTTCTCGGGCTTCTAATCTCCTTCGTCTCTCCGCAAGTGCCACTCCACCTGTATCCCTCTTCTCAAGTGAAGCAATTTTAGGGTGTCTTGTAAGAGTCGTTTGAGTCAAAGTTTGTAAGTCTTTCATTTTATAATATTAAAGTTTGTTTTATCTATTTGTGTTGTTTTGTGTCTTTCCTAGTTATTTAGGAAAGCAATTATTTTGTCAAGCAAAAAATATAGGGCCCCCTATATTTTTGCTTACATCACAAATACAAGGCAAAGTAATGTAAAAGCTTGTAACACAAATCCAAAAGTTAATAATGAGATGTTCACCTTGATGATCTACTCTCTCTCTACGGATCTAGGTTGAGCGGAGGAAGATCTTCCACACTAGAAATGAAGTGGCCACTAGGAAGGACGAGCCGAGGAACGTAGTTGTTGGGTAGGT